TCAAAATCAGTTTATTATTACTCAACCTATAACCTACCTTGGTAATCCTTATTTGATTGGGTTACTAAACGTTGTGCTAATCATTCTGAAATCCTTTTTTGTCACTTTGTTTAATTTAATTGCCCTTAATTTTTTCATATATATATTGACTTGACAAGTAAATGTGTGATCAGACTGTTCGAAATGTAAAGCGCAAATACATCACATTTTTCAGATAATCTCCGTCTTCTAATAACACTATTGAAATATCCAATGAAGTTCTATTGTTCTTTCGTGTTGCTGTTTTTCTCCCCTGACCCACACTTGTATTTTTTATGTATCTGTAGTTTTTTGTCATGCTGTGTGTGTTACGTGGAGTGCGGGACCTTGAACTGCTGCACATCTGTTCGAAGTTCTTTGTTGAAAGCAGTCTGTCAGTCAGTAAAATATTAGTATATTTATATGCAGTAGGACACCATTTTTGCTAACGTAGCATTTGTTTTGATTTCTCTGAATAGGTATGGAATGTCACCACTTCAAAATGCACTTCATCTTACCAAGTTCCCGGTCAATTACGTCAACAGTTTGTAAATGCTGGACGACATAACCAGAAAAGTGAACAAAATGGAGCTCCATGGATATCTGCTTGCTACACACCAGGAAGTGATTCGTCAGTGAATGTTTTATTCTCAAGTGTACGAGGTGGGTTATTTTACTGGGATTGCAAAGGAATGCCTAGCTCTGTGTCGCTTGACAGTCAGGGACATTCTCTGCTAATTTTCTCAATGCACTACTTTCCTAATTCACCAGGACTGGTAATCACTTTCAGTCAAGATAGATTTTTGATTGTTTGGCAGTTGGTGGAAGGATCTAACCTGTCAGTGATCCTTAAAGTACCTACAATGTCTGCAGGTGTTTGCTGTTTAGCTCAATCTGAATTTAGCAATGGTCCCTTAGTTGCAGGTCTTTCAGACGGTTCCATCATATTTTGGAAGTTTCCTGCACCAGAATTGTTTGGTGAAAGAAATTCTTCTGATAATCGAAACAAAGAAAAGTTTGTTTCAATATCACCTCGAGGATGCAAATCATCTTCCATAACCACGCTGTCTTGTCATCCTTTACCGCAGTTTGAGAATGTTATTGCTTATGGCACTGAATCAGGTTGTGTGGAGATTGTAGATATTAATAAGCTACGAAAAATGAAATCACGACAGCCTAAACCGCAGCTGTATGCATTTGGTTCAACTGTGTATCGAGTTGCCTGGGGGCCTTTACTATTTTCTGATATATATCGTAGAAAGGCAAACAAAAGTGAACAGAGAACTAGCGAAAATCATTCGAAATCTGATAATTGTAGCATTTCAACAATGCATATAATTGCACAAGAAGATGGGAATTCCACCGAGGATAACGAAGCCTCATCTAAGTTTTCTTTCTACGTTTATAGCGTAAGTAAGGGGAAAATTTACTGTCATTTTGGATGCAGTCGTCCACCAATTGATGTTAGCACAAAATTCCCCCCCCTTTTCCGGGTACTACAGATGAAGACTGGAAAGCATTGATCCATAGTGAGATATCATTCCGTCTTGTCAGTAAATCTGAACTACCGGGTGTCGATCTAATTGCTGATACTTTTAACTGTTTAGTAGCTGTTGGTTATCGTTCAGGTGAAGTTGACATTTATGGTTTCTTACGTTCGAACTCATCAAATTGTGAGGAGGTGATGGAGAAGGAGTCTAGACGACTTGTCTTTATTTGTCGTACTGTGAATTATTGCAAGTGTGTTAACTGTTTAACTTGGTGACGAGAACATTACTGGTTGGCTGTAGGTTCGAATGAAACCTTTATCACTGTCACAGATCTCAAAATTCAATTAATGAACTACCTTAATCAAGGCGAATGCTCTAAGCCTATTCAACTGTCTACTAGTTTAGCTCGCTTAGAAGGACATTACAACAGAATCACATGTCTAGATTGGTCTCCACACGATCCATTTCTGTTATTAACCATAAGGTTGATGTTAACTCAGCCTTTAAGGTCATCTATCGAAAAATGGTCAAGGGCGCTTATCGGAATACGCTGAGGCTATAGCTATTCATAAACTTGATCTTCCTCCATGTATTCAAAATCAGTTTATTATTACTCAACCTATAACCTACCTTGGTAATCCTTATTTGATTGGGTTACTAAACGTTGTGCTAATCATTCTGAAATCCTTTTTTGTCACTTTGTTTAATTTAATTGCCCTTAATTTTTTCATATATATATTGACTTGACAAGTAAATGTGTGATCAGACTGTTCGGAAAACAGTCCCAGTCTGTTAACCTCAAGGATCTTGACAGCCTCAAGGAGGTAGTAGTAGAAAAGAAATTCCCGACTGATCCCTGTAAATATGTTTTTAATTATTCTTCCGTCACTCTTTCTGAAATTCAACTACAAGCCCTATCACTGGGCCCAAAATTCTGTAACAGTTCGTCGAAAGTCAATAGATTGCATACTCAAGTGCAATTCGAAAATCTTATTAATCAGACCAACGATCTCACACCCACATCACCTGAGGAATTCCAACACTTAAAATCTACAGTTCTTGATTGCTGTCATCAGTTTACCAGTTCAAAACCAAGCTCGAATAACCTTCTGACTAAAGAGCATATAGATCAACTTAAACAACTGGAGAAGAATGATGATTTTATTATATGCCGTCCAGACAAAGGTGGTGGTGTTGTAGTTATGAATCGCCAAGGTTATAATGATAAGATCTCAGCGGTCCTTTCCGACCAAATGAAATTCGCCAAACCCGATGGTGAAAAGAACAAGACACATCTTATTGAAAATCAACTGACTGATGTCTTAGAGAACATGAGGAATAAGTCAGTAATCTCGTCGGAAATATATGAACGGATCCGACCAGTAGGCTCCATGATACCACGTTTGTATGGACTACCCAAAATTCATAAGACAGGATTACCCCTGCGTCCTATCCTCGATATGGCGGGTTCTCCTCATCACGGAATCGCTCAATAGCTAGCTGAAATACTGGAACCAGTCAGAAGGCAAGTATCTAAGTTTTCCATTGATGATACGTTTAAATTTATTGATAGCATTAAAGATTTCAATGTCTCAGACAAAATCTTGTTCTCATTAGATGTAACGTCGCTTTTTACCAATGTTCCTCTCATGGAAACTGTTTGTTACTTATGTGATTATATTGATACACATAGTTTAGAAATAGGACTGCCGACCTTCTACCTCAAAGAGCTTTTATTGAGATGCACATTGAATGTTCAGTTCACCTTCAATAATGAGATCTTTAGACAGAGAGACGGCATTGCCATGGGATCACCACTGGGTCCCTTGTTGGCTGATTGTTTTATGGCTAAGCTTGAAAATTCTCAACTTAGTCAAACCATCGGTCATTTTGCCATTTATAAACGATACGTAGACGACACTTTCGTTATCTGCGATAAAAATGTAATTCTTGATGATGTCCTGTTTACTTTCAACAACTGCCATCCTTCTTTACAATTCACCGTAGAAAAGGAATCCGGACTAAGTATCCCCTTTCTTGATGTGTGCCTTAGCAGACGTGATGACGGATCTCTCAAAAGATCTATCCATCGGAAACGTACTTGGAACGGACAACTAACTAATTTTTACAGTTGGGTGCCTATCTCCAGGAAAAGGAACTTAATTCATTCGCTTTGCTATAGGATAAGGAAAATTTGTAGTTCTGATTCCGTTGACTCGGAACTTGATTTCTTAAAAGCCACGCTGGCAGAAAACGGTAACCCTAACCGATTTATTGACAGCAACATGAAAGAAAAGCAGTCTCAACTGGTTACCGACACAGTTCCAAAGAAAACCTTATTCATGAACTTGGAATTCAAAGGTGATCAAGATTCAGATATGCTCAAAAATCGTCTCTCCAAATCAGTCAGTAAGACGTTCTATGCAGCAAAATTACATATGACTTTCGCTAGCCGCAAGTTGTTCTCTACCTCTATAAAAGATAAGCTACCCCGTCTGGCCGCCTCCATGTGCATCTATCAGTTCACCTGCTCTTGTGGAGCAAGGTACATTGGCCGTAGTCAGAGGACGCTTTCCGCACGGATACGAGAACATATTCCAGCTTGGTTTTATAAGGGAGAAAGGAAGTGTGTGAGAAGCTCTATTTTGGAACACCTGATCGACTTCTGTCACTCTGTTAACCCTGACCATGATTTTAAGATCATATATAGAATCCATGCTAACTTCCCGCGTTTTATTCGTTACAGACTTCTAAAGACAGCTGAGGCCTTGGCAATTCATGACTTTAAGCCATACCTTTGTGTACAAAAGAAGTATGAGCAATCCCTACTTCTGCCTTGGCCGTAGAGGGATAGACATTTATTTATTTTGTTTATTTAGTTATTCTTTGTACTCTTCCCTTATTACTGTTATTACTATTATTATTAATATTATTATCATTATTATTGTTACTATTCTCACTCTGAATCTTTTTCACTTGACCCACTTGACATTTTAAACCTAAAATTATTAATTTTTATATGTTTTACAATATTGAATTCTGTCTTATCAAATTTCATACCATGTTATGTAACATTTTATATTCGTCTACTAATCTTATAATTATGTACCCCTTTCCAAAATCTATACACCTTATGTATTATTCTATATACGACATTAATTATTGTGCCACTTGACATTAATAATAATAATATAATAATCACTTTATTCCACAACAATAACAATTTACAGCATGGAATTTTCAGCGTTTCATTTTACGTATTGCATTGGTTTAGCTCTTTTTATAATTATATAAATGTATAAAATTTTAAAAATATTAATAGTTAATAGGAAAAATAAAAACCCCAACAAAATACACCATTTCTAGGTCATAGTGAATAATAAATAAATAATATAACAAATCACACATGCAATAATATGCATCATTACATTTTTTAGTTTAGTTAATGATTTAGAAGTTGTAAAAGTTCTTTTCTGATATTCGTCTCTTCACACAATACTCGTGCCAAATATGGTACGGTCGAATTTTTATATTTTGTAGTACGAGCATAAATGTTTATGAAATTTCTTCTGGTCTTACCCGAAGAGATACAAGGAAACAAATGTGAATAAAGAGGATGTTCACTATCAGACAAAATAACTTTAGCTAAGTGTTTACAAGAATTCAAATGCCTATTGACAACAGTGTCGGTTAGTTGAGTCAAAGGGGTAGCACTGACCCTACTTACAGCCCTCAATGTTCTTCGTAGTATTATATGGTCTTTTTTGAGTAGCCCAGGGAAGAATAATGGGGAACAATAAAGAATAATGGGCAAAACACATGAATTAATAAATTGTATGAGAAGAGATTGGGTTATACCTGAGTGCCTCAACTTCTTTATGTAATAAGTCAGACGGAAAACTTTTGTAGAAACTATAAGAATATGAGACGACCAGCAAAGGTTTGAAGAGAAACTAATGCCAAGATAAGAAACACTTGACTTACTCTCTATCATGGTACCATCAATATTACAACAATCATGAGATTGGATCAATCCATGCATGTCTTTTTCATTTCTCAAGCTGAAATCAACAGTATTACATTTAGTTGGATTTAGTTTAAGACCATTTGAGCTAGACTAATCCTTAACTTCAGCTAAGAAGCCATTCATATGGGAACAATCCAATGTGGAAACTACAGGGACAGAAACGGTCAGATCATCAGTATACTTAATGAAGTTAACGTTGGGTGAGTTCGGAAGGTCATGCAAAAAGAAAGAGAAAAGAAATGGAGAAAGTACTGCTCCTTGAGTCACACCACTTTCAGTTAGCTGAGAAGTGGAGCGCTTTCCAGCCAAAACAGTATGCTGTCTCCTATCCTTAAAATAAGAAGACAGCCATCTAGTTGCCTAGGACTCTGTCTGTGCTGAAATCATCTTTCCTAATAAAAGTGTCCTAGGAACAGAGTCAAAAGCTGCAGTATAGTCTAAAAAAGCTGTTCGAACGAACTTAGCACCCTTATCAAGGCAGGAAACAATATTGTGGTGTAGTACAATGGCTGCATCTAATGTACTTCTTCCACACTTATAAGCAAACTGCTTAGGGTCACTAAAAGCTTTTAAAGAAGGTTTAAGAGTATTCAAAAGAAGTTTCTCCATAGTTTTCAAAAAAGGAGATGTTATAGCGACCGGTCTAAACTTTATACCTGCTCCAGATGATGATTTCTGTACAGGTACAACCTTGATTTCTTTCCAGTCAGCAGGTACCGTTTCCTTGTTGAATGATGCATTAAAGATTTGAGTAAGAGGATGACACAAGATGTCTGCACACTTTTGAAGAAGAATGCCTGGTACACCATCTGGACCAAGGCTGTGTGTTGGATTTAAAGATTTCAAACATAATAGTACATCCTCTTCTTTAAAACCCAGAAAATTACCATTATCTTGACTAGTTACATCAGGTACAATCACAAATATTTTAATTGCATTTCATACTATTATTATTTCATGTATTCACACCCTTGACCTCATTCCCTCACCGGATATAATTTCTTAAAAACCATATATATATATATATAGATTGTACAGCTTGATAATAAATTTCATGCATTTATTCCCCTTGATGAATTTGAATAAAGCAAGAACAACAATGGTTTGTGCAGAATGTTCCAGCTATAGCGACAAACACTTCATAAGGAATCCCACAATCTTTAACACGTTTTGCTTCAGGTGAACTCAAACTGGAATCTCTTTCAGTCGATTCAGTAATTCCTAACACTTCATTCACAGTAAGAATAA